GGGGGGCATTTTGTAAGCGGAGCCCCTGGCCGGCAGGGAAATCTGATCCTGTTTTAGAAGACCCACTAGATAGCATCAGTAGGAGGAGATGGGCAGGAACCAAGGCAAGAATTCACCCAACACTTTCCTATCACAAACAAGGTCCTAGCACAGCACAACCAAAGTGAAAGTACAGGACCAACTTCAGGATATTTCAGCCCAAATAGGTCTGCTGGAAATGAGAACCTCTCTGAAAGGCTGGGGAGCACTTACTCTATGCTCAATTTATTAGTTTCCTGCTTCTAACATAAAAAATTGTCACAAATTCAGTGCCTATTTTTATTCTTCAGAAGTCTAAAATGAGTGTGGGGGAAGGCGGCTGAGTTCCTTTTGGAAACTTCAGGGGAGAATGTTACCTGGCTATATATTCTTTCTGGAACATGGCTCTTCCATTTTTATATATCCTGCTAGGATATCCTACCTTCCTACTTTGTATAAAATACCCTTGGTCAAGTTATTGGATGAACCTGCTTAATATAATCTTCCCTATTTCAAGGATCTTAACTTTAATTACACTTGTAAGACCCCTTTAATTATGTGAGTAACATACTAGGTTCTGGGGATTAGGGTGTGGCTGTATTTTGAGTACCATGGCTTAATTTCTCTAGCCAGTTAAATGATTGAACTAGTTAGGCAAAGTAAGACCTCCAGGTCCTAGATCTGATGTGGGGCTTACCCTGCCCAGATTTGTGTGAACTATCCTGTTCTTTGAATATAAGCTCCTTGTTTGTTTTTGTGTAAAATGTCTAATTTTTAAAATATCTATTTTATGTATATTAAGTATTCTATCTGCATGTATGTATCTGCATTATGTGCATGCCTGGTACCCAGAGAGGCCAGGAGCCCCTGGGATTGGAGCCCTGGATGGTTGTGAGCACTGGGATCTGAACCTGGGTTTCCTGCAATAGCAACAAGTGCTCTTAACCACTGAACCATCTCTCCATCCCCTAAGATGATTAATTTTGATTTATCTATTCTATCCAAGATGACAAGGATCAAGAGACATCAAATTCATGACTGCCCCTCAACCAAGGTTGTTTTCTTCCCCCAAGTAGAAAATGAGTAGGAATGCTTGAAGGTACCCTGCAGACAGGAATTAAGTATGACTGTACTGGCTTTCATCTTGATGCTGCTATATGACCTTTAACAAGTCTTAACTATTTGTCTATTTCACATGTGCCAAATGGACCCAACAGTCTCATCTTTCTGTAGTTGTGTATAGGCCTGACATAGCATGTTTTATTATTTGAAGCTTTAACTAGTTAGTCCCAAGTGTGTTTTCTGGTTTGTCCTTGGTTGTTCTGTAAGGGACCCAAGTAACTGTCTTGAAATTCACCTTTATTTACTCTATTCTTTGTCCAAATAGTTCTGTCCATTTGGGGGATCTTGAGGGCAAGACACTGGGTCAAATTCTCTGAGGTAAGGCAGGCCTGTTGCTATTCAGTTAGCAAGTGTGACTGAAAAGGCTGAATGGCTACACCAACAGCAGCCTTGAGAGCATTCTCATTGTTTTTAACCCCTCTAGATCCTGTTTGCAGACACAAGAGAAATGGGGAAGAGTTTAACCAGAGTTTCTGTTTTCCAAAGTAGAAGAGGAAAAGCTCAGGCAAAAACAAAACAAAACAACAACAAAAAACCCAACAACAAAACCAAAAACCAAACAAACAAAACCACAAGGATAGGGCACAGGTCAGGCAGGCTTATCAAAGGAAGAAGCATTTAAGGCCCACACTCCCATGAAGCAGTAGAATGATCTAGAATGGGTACTATCCAGCTGTGCTCATTCATTCATTCACTGTTTTAGGGCTGAAGGCATTACTTCTGTGTAATTTTAAGTTTTAAAGAGTTTAAGGTGATGCTGGGTGGTGGTGGCATACACCTTTAATCCCAGCACTCGGGTGGCAGAGGCAGGTGGATCTCTGTGAGTTTGAAGCCAGCCTGGTCTACAGAGCGAGTTCCAGGACAGGCTCCAAAGCTACAGAGAAAACGTCTCAAAAAACAAAACAAAAAAAGTTTAAGTGAGAAATGACTTAAGTAACCTATGATTTTCATATGTGCTTCAAGAAAGTAACTCCATTACAGCTCAACACTTCAGTAAAAGGTGATTCTGAAGATGCTCTATTTTAGCTTTTGGATGTCAGCTTGAGCTGCCCAAGGTTCATCTTTCCAGATTATTTCTAAGCTACTTGCCACTTACTTAACCTAACTGAAACTGAAGGGAACTGAAGGAAACTGAAGGAAAAGTGAAGGGAAGGGAAGGAGCCTGGTGGTCAGGCCTTGCAAAAAAAACGCTCACACCCCAATCCACCTCAACAAGGTGATAATGTGCTTATTCAGAAGCATAAGGTGGAGGAATTCACCAGTAACTAGACGCAATGAGTTGTGTAATTACCTGCCCATTTTATTGTAAAGACAAAGTCTTTAGATCATATAATCTCTTCCATTCTGTGATGTAAAACCACTTGAACTCCCAGAAGCCTCCTTTAACAGTGCAAAATGACTATTAAAAGTTGGCTGCAGGATAGGGTCATTTCAGGTTCTCTGTCCTCAGCTGCCCCAGGAACTAACTGGGGACATCGCCCTGGGCACCTGGGAGCCCCTCTAGCACCAAGTCTCTTGCCAACCCTAAGATGGCTCCTTAATTAAGATGTGTGCTTCCCTGCTCCACTATCCAACCTTCCTTTATCCCAAACATCCCGTTTCCCAAGTTCCCCCCAACCTCCCCTTCTCACTTTTCTCTCCCCATCTCCCCTTACCTCCCTCCCACCCCACCTCCAAGATCCCATTATTTGCCCGGCAATCTTGTCTACTTCCCATAATCAGGAGGATAGCTATATGTTTTTCTTTGGGATCACCTTCTTATTTAGCTTCTTTAGGAGATCAAATTATAGACTCACTG